TGTGTGTGTGTGGGTGGGGTGGGTTATGCTTCCCGGTTCATGCGTGCTCCGGTTTGTGTTGTGGGTTTCTTTGTATGGCTTGTTTGTGGGTGTGCGGTTCCTGTGCGTTTGTGTGTCCAGTTGTGGATGTCGTGTGCGCTTGTTTATGTCATATTGCATGCCCTTCAGGCTGTTGGCGTGTTCCGGCCAAGGTTTATGCTCCTTGTTATGTTTTGCCTCCAGTTTGTTTGGGAGGTCTGTTTTTTTTATTGTTTTTATCTTTATTATTGTATGTTTATCGTTTTGTGTTGGTGCATCTCCATCTGTGTTTGGGGTGTTGGTAGGCTTGTTATGTGTGCGTTTTGTTTTGGTGTTTCCCCTATGCTTATCTTACCTTGTGTTTTGTGTATGCGCTTTTGTGTGTTTTGTGGTCAGCCCTTCCGGCTGGTCTTCTCTTGATTTGTTCCTTTGTCCGTGTACATATGTGTGCTTTGTGCTTGTGTTCTATGATATGTTTGTCTATGCTTTTATTGTAACTTATACGCATGCTTGCATGTAAAAATAAAAAAAAAATAAAAATTGGAGGAGTTCTGTCCACTCATTTGTCTATTTTTGTCGTTTTAACCAGAAAGGGGGGTTTGTTTTGGGGCGCTTACCATTCTGGGTGCCTGTCCCGGTCGATGACAGATATAGAATGCCCCAAAATCACATGTGCATTTCTATAGGCCATTGGTCCTCGTGCCTCTCTGAGGGGGCCAGGTTCTGGCTCATTGTCCCCGGTAGGCCTAGAACTCCACCCACATCGACTGATGCCAAAGTTAGGCATATTCATATCAGCCTGAATAGCTCCAAGGAGCTGTAGGGGCTCCGCCCAGAAAAGATGTAAATAATCACTTCCACTGCGAGATCGCCGTTTGCACATTCCCACCCACCACCAGATGGCAGCAGGGAGGTGCAAACAGCTTGGGCACATCATCCGTTGCAGCGGTAGCAGACCATAACTTAGCTGCTGTGGATTATGAGGTCTCACAACAAGGACCCAAAACCTTCACATAACTGCCGAACAAAAAACATCTTGCGCCACACAGATTCGATGACCCTCGGCCTATCTAATGCTCACTTAGTGATTCACTGCAACAAGCCTCATTGATAACTCAGGCACTAGGATATGGAACTGCCATGTACCAATGTAACTAGGCAAAGTTGGCATATGCACTGCAACAGTGGTCGCCTTGAAAATTCAAAAAAGCAGAAAAACATGAAACTCAGAAGCGACTTCTTTCCAGTAAAGTGCAAGAGTATGGAGAAAAAACTCATGCCCGGCAAACGGAAAGGAAGCCCAGACCTCATACCACAACCAAGATTGAGAAGGGTACTCATACACAATAGAGCTGTGTGGTCCTGGTCCCAGATAAAGAACCGAAACAAGTTCGGCCACACCAAATCCGAACCTGCATAAAGGAGGCGAGTCCAGGCCACTAACAGGGACCCGGAAATGTACGCCCAGCAGAAAAGTCGAGCTCATACTGCGCCGGTGTATGAATAAGTGTTCCTGTGGAACAATAAATACTCAGCGAGACACTAGAAGCGAATGGAGGGTATATAAACACAACGTACACGATACTGAGGGGAATAGATGACAACGATAGCCTCTTCAGAATTGAGAGAATGCAGGACAAGAGGACACAAGAGGTAGGTGTAGCATAAAGAGCTAAACCTCACTCCCCCATACACTAATAAGTATTAATAGGTAAGTACCAGATACCACAGAGGGTAAAAGGGCAACCAAAAATCTTTCTGAGAAGTCTCTGGAGCCTGTGGATGCTGAAAACTGATAACTCAAAAACACTGCTAAGAAACAAAGGATGAGGATAGAAAGTCCAGCTACCTACAACAGTGACTCGGACAGTGCAATGCCCAGCTCCACTGGAGCGTGTAGGTCTATGGCCCATATAGCCACTTTGGGGCCCGAAACTATGGTGAAGGCAGAGAAGCCTTCTTCAACAGTTGATGAAAAAACACCAGAAGAGGAAGGAGTAACTTGGCACAAGTCTCATAATCAACTGCTTCACTTCCTCCTCACAGAACAGCAGGGATTCAACTACCAAGGTCCACAAGAGGTGGACCTTGGACAGTGCAATGCCCAGCTCCACTGGAGCGTGTAGGTCTATGGCCCATATAGCCACTTTGGGGCCCGAAACTATGGTGAAGGCAGAGAAGCCTTCTTCAACAGTTGATGAAAAAACACCAGAAGAGGAAGGAGTAACTTGGCACAAGTCTCATAATCAACTGCTTCACTTCCTCCTCACAGAACAGCAGGGATTCAACTACCAAGGTCCACAAGAGGGCGCCAAAGACAACTGGGACGTCGATCCCATAATACAGCCACCACTTAGTAAGCGCTCATCACGAAAGTGATTCAGCTACAACAGAAGTCCAACAGTGGCAAACAATGCAGAATGACGGTGACAGCAAGAATGACAGGAGCACCGAATCACATTGTAGGAAACTCACACAGTGGTGTCAGGCCGGTGGCCAGCAAAGCCATGCTAGACTGCCATGACCTAGAGCTAGACATGCTAGGGCCTTTGAAGGGCAAATCAGCATCATAATTGTCAACAGACAAGCAAGTAGGCCACGTGAAGGGAACATATCTTGATGAAGCAGACACAAAATCCCGACCTATAATATCCACTTGGTTTCAGATCCACCAGGGATCTCAATGAAGAACAGTCACACATGTGACTGAGCTCGCCCTCTGCCCCAGCATCAGGAAGACAGCTAAAAGAAGAGCAGGATGCAAGATTTACACTAGCACACACCTTAAAAAACAAAACAAAAATTCTCCATTAACAGGGCCCGCTGAGGAATAAAACCCCATGCAGTGCCTGGAAGTGGAAGGCCTGAAGAGAAAGCAAAACGAATCCCATAGAGAAGACAACCTTGATGGGGCAGAGGGAATGCAAGCCGGCTACCAGGTAAGATAACCCTAGCTACAGAAGGTGGAACGAATTGACACCAAAGCAAATAGAAAGAGGGAGGCACTGAAATATGCCAGAGCCCAAAATCTGATTGGTGATGGGCGAATGAATATATGCTGTGATCTTGGCTTGGAAACGATTGCTTGCATCACTTTCGTCAATTCAACAAAATATCTCCAAGATGTTGTTTGCTTTGGAGAATTCTGACTTTGATATAATTTTTGCTTGGGTTCTGGTGATCTATCCCCAGACGTCCTTCACCAGATCAGAACAGACCAAATTCTGGTTCAGACTTTCGGTTGGTGTTCATAGGTCACAGAATCCTGGTTGGTTCCCGAAGGCTTGGTTGCTTCCATGTTGCAACATTGGGGAGCGACTGAGAGGATCCTTCCAGAAATTACACTCAAATTAAATTAAATTTTTACATTAAAATGATCATATAATGTATATTGCATTTTGTGACAACTAAAACGCAGTCAGTAAGCTTAGAAGGAGCTCAGAGTCTTGGCCGTCAGTAGCATTATTTACAACGAAGCACCTATATATTTGGTACATTTACAGTGATCTCTAGTGACAGCCTACACTAAAGCTTGTTTGGTTCAAACATTTTAATTTGATAAGAGATACTAATAAATAGTTTGTGAAAAGCTGTTAAACTGTTTGTGGAGTGTGATGGATGTCATGGGTGCCTGGTGGTCTGTGCAGGGTCTTCCAATCCACAGGTGCTGGGCACAACTGACAGTCTAAGGCTATCGTGGCTATTGGCTAGCTTAGGCTGTCTTTGCAAGCATTCCAAACCACACTAACACATGACATTGTTCACAGCAACAGACGCCTGCTGCTCCTCAGACATGTGGACATAGAAAAACTTTTAATTGCTACAAACGAATTAAGACGTTGGCAATTTCCCTGAAGCAAGCAGACCTGGATTATGAGGACTGCTAGTTGCCCATGGAAATCAAGTACATTGCAAGCTGCACCATACTCCATGAACTGTCAATAGTCAAGAGCCTCCCGCTAACTGGCAATCACCCCGATGTTGCTAGCTGCCATGGGATTTGATTATTAGCTTTCACGGGATCTGGGAGCTCCAATGACTGAGTGCCGGGTCTGGACCCCACAAGGCGCCCCAGACTCTGGGAGCCTTGTGGCGCCTGACTCAGGCCCTGGGCATTGCTACTTGTCCCTGGCTCCAGCTGCTAGATATTTGCCCCGGGCACCGCAAGGCTGATGCAGGAGAATAGGCCATATGTGAAGAAAATATATATACGTGCATTTTTTACATAAATTAGGCGAGACGTGAGTACCTGGCAGCCATGACGGCAGTCACGGCGGTGTGGAACTGTCTGCTCAGGGCAGCCGGTGGAGGGAACACGACATGGTCAGTGAGGGATCCAACGCCACCCTCCCCCACCCTATTAAGCCAAAATGTTAAATCTGGTCCCCTTTAGTAGGCATCATGCAACAACAATCCATATTTTCAGTATATCAGGTGACAAGGAGGAGTAGGAAGGTTATGGGTGTTGGAGCTAGCGCCCCCCCGTTGCTCTCTTCGGGAAGGGGTCCAACACTGCAACCAGGGACTCACCTGCTCTTGAATCTAAGGCGACGCTCCGTTAGGTCCTCACGTATCATGTCCATGCTTGCAAGAGAGACACTAAGTTGCAACAGTAAAGAGCTCTATATGAAAGATGCTGCATCTCAGGTTTAAATCTATCAGAAGCTGATTTCCATAATACAACTTTGGGGGATGTGTGCTGTATGTATAATGGAGATCAATAAAACAGAATATGATACACTAGGGAAATGTTAAGCTATTGTAATCAATTAACCAATATAACCTATAAGCGTTAGTAACGTGATCATTAATGCTCAAACATTAGTTGGTTGGGTGTTGGGTGTGTACATGGTGAAGGCTGCGAGGGGAAGCTACAACATGGGCGATCCCCCCCCCCTTCCCCTCCCATCCCCTCACTCCACCCCTCCCGACCCCTCACTCCACCCCTCCCGACCCCTCACTCCACCCATCACGTTACCTACCTGAAAGGCGACTTGCCTCGCTTTTTCCTCTCTGCTGGTTCTGGCGTCGCCTCCTGAGTCTCGCGAGTCACCTCAGTGGACAAGGTAACTGGAAAATACACGCAATGAAAATAATAATAATAATAATAATAATAATAATAATAATAATAATAATAATAATAATAATAATAATAATAATAATAATAATGCACAAAGAAATCACATTAACGTGATGCATCAATCCCCAAATCCTACCCGGCTGCTACCCGACATTCTGTTACATGATAAAGTTACTCTCCTCCCCCTTATAACGGACCACTATCATGAATGACCAGTTCTGCACTAAAGGCCAGTACTCTTGTGGTCATTATTCTTCAACACATATTACCAACTTTTCTCAGAATGAAGTGTCAGATCACGTGACCACAAAATGTTGGAACGATTATAATGAAATAGGAAAATAGTGTGAGCGCTGTCGTGCCGTCAGAGGCCGCCTCAGTCAGCAAGCGTGGCGCCACCTGGAGACTTTAGATTTTATTAGACTTTTCCTCCTTGGTGGCCCCAGCTTCCGTCCAGACGTTTAATGAAACAGAAGTACTAAGATTAATTTATATTTTTCACTGTTGTTGCTCTTACATTCTTAGAATATTTACAGTGATACAAACACAGCTCTTTATTTTCCAATCCTCTGACACAAAACTGTAACTACTGTCCTATGCTCCCTTTCAAATTCTTCACACACTTCCTTTCTGTGAACAGCGCTTAATGATTTCTGCTTTGCAGCATCAACACCCGCAGCTCTTCCAGTTCAGTATCTTCACTGATATATTCACCTCTTCCACAGGAGTCATGTGACCTTACACTCTTCTCATACCACAAAGTTCAACAATGAACAAATTCACGAGGGCCGTGATGAGGGTTCGAACCTACGTCTGAGAGGATCCCAGACGCACCTTAATCGACTGTGCCACGACATGGTAAAAGAATTGCAACCGAGAGTTCTACTGCCCTCACACGGATCTTGCAGTCTCTCCAAGACACAAACCAGGGTATTATACAATTCCCCCCCCCCATGCACCCGGGCGAGGTCAACAAGCTGTTCTACTTCTTCGCCCTTACTTCATTACACACACAAATCATAATAGCGTGATGCATCAAATGAACCCGGCCCTCATCACGGCCCATGTGGATTTGTTCATTTGATGCATCACGCTATTGTGATTTCTGTGTGTAACTTCAACATGTCCTTACATTAGCATCTAGTCCATCAGTGGCAATCATTTGACTTTCAAAGTAATTTCTCCATCTACTACTAACCATTCCTCAGTATATAATTTCTCCTGTCACTGATGCTGCACTTCCCTAATTCTTCAAAAATCACGTGAAACACATAAGTGTACAATGCTTGAAAGTTGTGTAAATGTATACAAGTAGTTATATACATTTATACATCACTTACCAGGGTCTTGAGAGGGCTTGTCCGCTGAAGTGCCTTTCCTGGCCATGCCCTCATCAGCCTCCACACCTTCCTCATTACTATAGTGAAGCTCTGTTGGTCATCAATACATTATAACCTTAATATAAATTATAAAAATAAATAAATAAATAAATAATTACTAATATATTTACTTATTTATTCATATACAAGAAGGTACATTGGGTTTATCAGAGTACAGAGATTTGAAGTTTTATATTCTTGTAAAGCCACTAGCACGCATAGTGTTTCGGGCATGACTAAAAATTACGGACTAATTGTTTAGTAACTTTCAGTAAATTATTAATAGACGAATTAAATGCAATTTTGGTAAGAGAATTACTAGAAACGTATCCTCATAGTGACCTGACATGTATTGGTCAATAAACCTTCACCAGTATTCACTCTTATGTTTCAAGTAATTTCTTGTGTCATATATGAATGATTTCTCAAGTTAATGTCATATTATCTTGTATAAGTCAGGTAGACTTAAATGATCATACATTAGATGGCAGGAAGAATAGTATAGGGTTAAACTCATTTTAGAAATGGTGCATAGATGTGTTGTAGAATGTACGTGAATATCAAGAAAAGATGTGTCTTCAGAACAGGTCTTTGCTATCCAGGAAAAAAGTTTAGACAAGCGCACCTTTGATGTCTGAGAGGGAGAAGCCCGTGTCGACGAGGGAGCTCTGGAAGGCCATGGAAGGCTGAACCTCCCCGTGCTGGATCCTGTGCTGACGGTTCCTCACTTCCTGCCAGCGAGCCGCCTTTTCTTCCTCACTATCCAAGAGATTTTTGCATTAATAGCAAGCGTGAAATAAATAAGTCATCTGAAACTGCCAGAATTGATGAAATATCCAATGATGAAACAGTAAAAATCATTCCTGTGCTTGAGTGAGATCACAGACCACCAAGACAATGCTTCTTACACATCTAAGTGAAGCTTTCTGTAACGTGGCACAAAGACAACTTATGAGGTCTCTCAGTACATCACCGTACGCTGTCTACCTCTTCCTGGCCATAATCTCTAGCCTTCAAACAGTGCACACTTGCAATATTCTATTTAACTATAATTAATATTATTGTTGGTAAAAACCCACACTTGTGTATTTGTGAAATTTATGTAAGGAATTTACAACAAGTCTTTTGCACTCTTCTGAATCCTTTGTCAAGGTCTGAGTGTGTAATTAGGACCGTCTAATCACTATAGACTTTTGCACAACGTTTAATCATTTGATTAGACGTTGAGATGTAAGTCGCGTCCTAGTCACACACTCAGACCTTGATAAAGCACTCAGGAGAGTGCAAACGACTTGGTATAAATTCCTTACAAAAATTTCACAAATACAAAAGTGTGGGTTTGTATCCTATGTTATTTGATCTCTTTTACTGCATTCAAACTGACAGTAATTATGAACCTAATTTATTATCACATATATATACATATAATATGCAACATATTGATCATTACATACTGATCAAGCAAACTGCTCAGTTTAAGGTCACGACATTCTATCTGTATTTGAGCAGGAGATCAGATGACTTAGCAAACTCCTTGATGACATCACTAAGCAACTGGCAGCCCCAAATGCAAAACTTACCTTCATTATCCAAACAAAAGAATGACAAGGGAAGGGAATTTTCAGGGGAAAGCACCAAGGCATTACGACTATATAGCACTGGGAAGGGGTCAGGATAAGGTTTTGGGATGGGACCGGGGGAAAGGAATGGTGCCCAGCCACTTGGACGGTCGGGGATTGAACGCCGACCTGCATGAAGCGAGACCGTCGCTCTACCGTCCAGCCCAAGTGGTTGGACGAAAGAATGACAAGTTAAAGAGAAGTAGAGGTACATCACTATTATCCAAACGACTTTACACGTATTAGGTAATTTGAGATCAAAATTACTTTAGTAAATATATTTCTGATTAATTTAAAATCAAATCCTGTACTTGAAATTACCTGTAACAATTATAGCTATTTATTGATTTTCGAGAACCAATAAATAACCAATGGCCATGTTTCACCTTTATGAAGGAGTCTAAATCCACTTACTTGATTTGGAGAAACGTTCACTTACTCTATAAAGACCTGGTCGCACACCACTGGCAAGGAGACTCGTAGGAACTCCCAGTTGGCTTTCTCGCACTGCTCGAACATCTTGGAGGCGATCTTAAGGCAGGGAGGAGTCTCGGAGCCCGCTGGGATGCGCGTCACGTCGATAGTCGAGTCTGGCAAGTCCTCGTTGTTCTCGAAAATAGGCTGGTCCTTTGTGTACCAGTAGGTAACCGGACGCTCCATGTTCCTGAAACACCATACAAACGGATAATTAAATTGTGGAAATATGTTGAATGAATAACTTATACTATATTACATAAAGCAATACATCATTTAACAAACCTAAAAGTTTCTATATTATCTCCCATAGTGCCTAAAAGTTAGGCGTATACTCACACACAGAATGGTTCATATCCCTCCTGGAGACCATAAGTTGTGAAGAACTTGAGATGATTTATGTCTTGACCAAAGACTAAGTGAGCCTTCTGGCCGACGCCTAGAGTGCAGGCAGGGACGAAGGCGTCTCCCTGGACGTCGCTGAAGGCCGTCTCTGACCCGCTCGCGTCCATCATCAGCTCCCCGTTGAGCGAGAAGCCTACGGAACATACCCAAGGTTACTTACTTACTTACCAAGGCTTACTCACTCCCCTAACCACCATCTTTTTACTTTTCATCTCTCCATTACTTTTAATGAGAAGCGATTTATATATGAATCACATTTTCTTAGTATTTTTCTTAACAAGAATAAATAAATATATGAGATTAAGAGTGAGGACGCTATCTATCCAGTTCGTTTGTGTGTAATAGTGAGTGCTCTACAGTCTGTTATTATATGCCTTAAACTATTATCTTACATTCGCTAATAAGCAACATGAAAATGTCTCTCCCAGTAATGCCAACTATCTTTCATAGTGCCATCTCCCATATGACAACTATCTCATAGTGCCATCTCCCATAGTGTCAATATCTCTCATAGTGCCATCACCCATAGTGCCAACTATCTCCCATAGTGCCAACTATCTCCCATAGTGCATAGTGCCAACCATCTCTCAGTGCCAACAACTCTAATAGTACCATCTCTCTTGGTGCCAACTGTCATAGTGCCATATCCCATAGTGACAACTATCTGTCATAGTGCCGACCATCTCCCATCTTGAGGTTATCTTGAGATGATTTCGGGGCTTTAGTGTCCCCGCGGCCCGGTCCTCGACCAGGCCTCCACCCCCAGGAAGCAGCCCGTGACAGCTGACTAACTCCCAGGTACCTATTTACTGCTAGGTAACAGGGGCATTCAGGGTGAAAGAAACTTTGCCCATTTGTTTCTGTCTCGTGCGGGAATCGAACCCGCGCCACAGAATTACGAGTCCTGCGCGCTATCCACCAGGCTACGAGGCCACGCCCCATAGTACCAATCACATTTCAGTTCCATCTAATATAGTGCCAACTATCCCCCGTAGTGCCAACCATCTCTCATAGTGCCAACTATCTCCCATAGTGCCAACCATTTCTCATAGTGCCAACTATCTCCCATAGTGCCAACTATCTCCAACAGTGCCAACTACACCCCTTTAATGCTACCTACCACATTTACTGCGATAGTTGTAAGTGCCAACTCTTCATATCACTACAATAACCTTGCGGTGCCTATCCTCATGATTAATCTCCGTAGGCTCACAATCTGTACATAATATGTCCACATTTGTTTCTTCTCCAAATTTTTGATTCACTTATTTTTGAAAAGTATAAATTTAAAAAATAAAAGTAGTATATTTAATGTTAACTTTCCATAGCCACCTAGGCTACACAACAGCCACATACAGGGACAATATGCCTGGGGGAGAGTGGGTATCATACACACACACACACACACACACTGACACTGTTACGACCCTGGGTTCCTCAAATGGAAACCAGAGGTCAAATTGAGCTAAATAAACTACTTTATATTAGTGGGACGCATGGCGAGGTGTCTGTGTTTGTATCTTCCCTGCCAGACGTAAGATGATTCTTGTTTCTTAAAGAGCATTTAAAGACTGAGCTTGGGGTTGATTATTAAGTAATAAAATAGGCATCAACTATGTTTACAAATGATTAGAAAGTATTAGTAAAGTAGATCTGAGTTAACTTGGATATAGGGCTGCTGTACAATTAGTTGAGTAGTCTGCCGGCAGCGAGTCAGCTGAGGAAGGAGACTGGAGACGGTCTCCCTTCTCTGGCTGGCGTTCGAGGTGTAAACATCTATACTGTGTGGCTCTGCACCTCTCTCCCCTTCCTCCTACTACTCACCCTTACCTATTTCTGTGTCTAGTTTACTAAGATAAGTATTGTGTATTTAATTGTGCCTACTCTGAGATTGTAAGATTGGTGTAGACCTGGGGTAGTATTTTCCAGTGTTTGGGTACCCCTTAGTGTTGTGTTGTGCTAGGGTACCACTTGGGCTCACTACCCTAAGCTGCCTCAAGCTTCAAGTTCTTCACTAGTAAACTTTACCCTAGCTTGTGCTCAGTGTAAAACCTTGCATCCTGCTTATGTGGACCAAGGCTTTTAACGTAAGATAGTGTGGTAAAGTTATTATTGTTATTTGTGTGAATGTATATGGGGGGTTGTTAAGGGGTTAATAAATAAGTAAGTTAAAGGAGTATCCATTCTTCCTGTGTAGGAGATCTGTGATCTACCTCTAGACTGACATTGTTTTGTAGCCAATTATTAATCACTGTTTATATTTTGTATTGGGGGCCGGGCCTTACTGCTCTCCACTATTAGAGATACATCTTTATTCTAACTGCTGCCCCTTCACCATATTAACACTAGATCCCCCATAGTACAACCCACTATTTGTAACACACACACACACACACACTATGGACTTGACATCTGTGAGTGACTCATGACACTCAATGTAAGTACAACAAATTCATTAATAACAAAAATCAAACATTTACATGCAACGAGAAAACAAAAATGCAGTTCCAAAATACAGTAGACGGCAGACATACACGGTTATACATATCAATACATACGGCAGTATAAATGCACTCTTATGCACTCTTCTCTCCGAGGAAGAGTACCAGCAGCAGGGCTGTAAGACTGACCTTTATCCGCACTTTGTACATTAGAAAATAGAAAGACCACATAATTTGTCATAAATTTCTGTGTCGACTGAAGTTATAATTGTTGGAACAAACATGCTTAAAGAAAACACTAATGCGAAGCAGGAAGCCCTAGTTTTGTGAAGCCCTTGATGAACGCCTGGAGGCCTTAGTGGCCTGCAGGCGGTGTGTGCGTAGCAGTAATACATCAGTAACTCAAAAAGTATAAAATTGGCTGCGTACATCGGGTGGAGGAAGCCACCGGCTCCACACCTGCTTCCTCCCGTCGTACACGGGTAACCACAGTAGCTCCACATATAGTGCTACTGTCTTGAGTGCAAGCATGACATCTGTAAAATGACTGCAATGCAAACGGTCATACGAAGATAACTAGAACAGCCACACGCATGGGACGGGAAGATGCAACAGACGAGCCAGGACGCTTTGCCCGACCTCGACGGGCCAGAAACATACAAGCATCAACATGATCTACGTTATAAGCTAGTCAGGTACCGCTCATATTCTGCCAGAAATTCCGGCTAAATGTCTAATGCTACAACTAACGTGAGCTAGCCACCACACCCGCTACTTCACCACTCACGACAGTCAGCAAGGATTAGACATCAATCACTCACTGATGGTTCTGTCGAATATATCAAGGCACACGCCTACCACGTCTCCGACCTGCCACTTGTGGCCGTAGCTGTCCAAACCGCCCGAATGACACTTTTCTTCCTGTATCACATACAAACTATTAGCAACATTGCAACAGGGACACTTATTTTTGCAACGAGACATTATTTAGGGTAAAAATCAGACAGTAGTAAAGTGCAGCAGACACGTCAATGAAAGTGGCACTGCACCACTAAGATTTTTGGTGAGGGAGTATAATTGTTATGGTTAGTTTCCATGTGGAGTTTGTGCTGCAGTTTACTACATGCCAAGAACACGGTGTAGAACACAGCGCTGGGTTAGGGGTAGGAACTTATGTGGCTGCAGAGCGGCTGATGCACATCTGTGAAGAATAGAGACCTTGAATGTTAGTGAAAGACTCCACAGAGATAGCACACTCACGGTACCACAGAGATAGCACACTCACGGTACCACAGAGATAGCACACTCACGGTACCACAGAGATAGCACACTCACGGTACCCCTCAAGCCTCATCCCGCCCCATCACACGTCTCTGTTTGGATTTTTTGTGTGTGTGTGTGTGTGAAAATGTTTCATTTATGTAAACAAGTGTGATAAGTTATGTTGGAATGTGTTTTGTGGGCGTGTGTGGTGCGACGGGAGACCCGAGCGGAGAGGCAGGCCAGCCAGGTACACCAACACACTTACTGATGGTCTTGTCATGCAGGTCCATCATTACCCCCACAACGTCGCCCGGCTGGGCACGTCGTCCGTACGCCTCCGTCCCGCCCATATGGTGCTTCATGTGCTTTAAAGATACAGGCCAAGTTACTGCTTCATACTTACAGCCCAGGAGGCACCGCTTCACTCTCACACCCACTTCTACATTCATTATACATTTCAAACCTGACTTGTTTATACCAAGTAGTCACAATAGCATCAAGTCAACAGAGTTGCTGCAATTTTCATCTTCAATATATATATGGCATGTGCCCCATATGTTGAGCGTGGCGCAGGACTGTGATCTGTGCCATGTGTTTACCACACCACAACATACTTGTTCTTACTACAATTGTTATAACTCATATTCAGACTAGACATTTAGAGCACTGTATTAGACCAGTCATTATATTCAACGATATTATGCTTCATATTATTTACTATCGAATATTTAGAAAACTGCATGACTTATTTGAAGGTGAATTTTGCTAACATCTATGGGAGTGTGAGACTGTTTACTTGCAGCAGTAAATGCTTTCACAGAGAGAGAGAGAGAGTGAGTGAGTGAGTGAGAGAGAGAGAGAGAGAGAGAGAGAGAGAGAGAGAGAGAGAGAGAGAGAGAGAGAGAGAGAGAGAGTGAGAGTGAGTGAGAGTGAGTGAGAGTGAGTGTGTGTGTGTGTTCCTGAGCACTGTGTCACAGTCGTCACAGTTCCTGAGCATTGTGTCAGTCATCATACAGTTCCTGAGCACTGTGTCACAGTTCCTGAGCACTGTGTCACAGTTCCTGAGCACTGTGTCACAGTTCCTGAGCACTGTGTCACAGTTCCTGAGCACTGTGTCACAGTTCCTGAGCACTGTGTCACAGTCATCACACACAATTAACAAATCATGAAACTTGTCACGTCTAGGTGTCCCAAGCTGATAAAGGTTCAATGTGAAAACATTTCTATATTATTGACAATCACTTGCAATTTTTCACTGAACTGACGGAAAATTACGTACAACAGTAATTAGCATTTATCTGAGTGCAATTACAATTAAATTTCAGCATGACCAAAACAATTATGAACTTCTCCAGTAATTGTGTCGGTCTACTGATTGTTGCTTTATTTACTCAGGAATCTACTTGTCTCATATTATTTGGCATAATAAAATTACCATAAATAACATTCAAATAAATGAACAGCATTTAAATTTGTTTAATTTATTATTTACATAGTGAACGATAGGATGTGACAAGAGCGACCAGTGAGCTCTCCCAAAGAAGCGGGAGAAGCTCACCCGTTCTTCATACTTACACGGAACCCGTCGAAGGCCCAAGACTTGTCGTCGCAGCCCAGCTCCGTCCCGGGCGGACTGCTCGTCTCTATCCAGCCCACGCGCATGGGTCCAGAGGTAAGAACTTCCATCTCAAAGTACCATTTGCCAGAAGTGACGGCGTTGGTGTTCTCCAGACGGTAGGTTCGGTGGGCCGTGCCTCGCTTGATGCTCTGTATGGCTGCGGCCGCCGCTGTCACCAACACACCTCCATGTTAGTGCCCTCAACACTGTGGTCCATGTTAGTGTCCTCAACACTGTGGTCCATGTTAGTGTCCTCAACACTGTGGTCCATGTTAGTGTCCTCAACACTGTGGTCCATGTTAGTGCCCTCAACACTGTGGTCCATGTTAGTGCCCTCAACACTGTGGTCCATGTTAGTGTCCTCACCACTGTGTGGTCCATGTTAGTGCCTTATGTAAACAAGTGTGATAAGTTATGTTGGAATGTGTTTTGTGGGCGTGTGTGGTGCGACGGGAGACCCGAGCGGAGAGGCAGGCCAGCCAGGTACACCACCACACTTACTGATGGTCTTGTCATGCAGGTCCATCATTACCCCTACAACGTCGCCCGGCTGGGCACGTCGTCCGTACGCCTCCGTCCCGCCCATATGGTGCTTCATGTGCTTTAAAAGATACAGGCCAAGTTACTGCTTCATACTTACAGCCCAGGAGGCACCGCTTCACTCTCACACCCACTTCTACATTCATTATACATTTCAAACCTGACTTGTTTATACCAAGTAGTCACAATAGCATCAAGTCAACAGAGTTGCTGCAATTTTCATCTTCAATATATATATGGCATGTGCCCCATATGTTGAGCGTGGCGCAGGACTGTGATCTGTGCCATGTGTTTACCACACCACAACATACTTGTTCTTACTACAATTGTTATAACTCATATTCAGACTAGACATTTAGAGCACTGTATTAGACCAGTCATTATATTCAACGATATTATGCTTGATATTATTTACTATCGAATATTTAGAAAACTGCATGACTTATTTGAAGGTGAATTTTGCTAATATCTATGGGAGTGTGAGACTGTTTACTTGCAGCAGTAAATGCTTTCACAGAGAGAGAGAGTGAGTGAGTGAGTGAGAGAGAGAGAGAGGAGAGAGAGAGAGAGAGAGAGAGAGAGAGAGAGAAAGAGAGAGAGAGAGAAAGAGAGAGAGAGAGAAAGAGAGAGAGAGTGTGTGTGTTCCTGAGCACTGTGCCACAGTCGTCACAGTTCCTGAGCACTGTGTCAGTCATCATACAGTTCCTGAGCACTGTGTCACAGTCGTCACAGTTCCTGAGCACTGTGTCAGTCATCATACAGTTCCTGAGCACTGTGTCACAGTTCCTGAGCACTGTGTCACAGTTCCTGAGCACTGTGTCACAGTCGTCACAGTTCCTAGCACTGTGTCCACTGTGGTCCATGTTAGTGTCCCTCAACACTGTGGTCCATGTTAGTGTCCTCAACACTGTGGTCCATGTTAGTGTCCTCAACACTGTGGTCCATGTTAGTGCCCTCAACACTGTGGTCCATGTTAGTGTCCTCAACACTGTGTGGTCCATGTTAGTGTCCTCAACACTGTGTGGTCCATGTTAGTGCCCTCACCACTGTGGTCCATGTTAGTGCCCTCAACACTGTGTGGTCCATGTTAGTGCCCTCAACACTGTGGTCCATGTTAGTGTCCTCAACACTGTGTGGTCCATGTTAGTGTCCTCAACACTGTGGTCCATGTTAGTGTCCTCAACACTGTGGTCCATGTTAGTGTCCTCAACACTGTGGTCCATGTTAGTGCCCTCAACACTGTGGTCCATGTTAGTGTCCTCAACACTGTGTGGTCCATGTTAGTGTCCTCAACACTGTGTGGTCCATGTTAGTGCCCTCACCACTGTGGTCCATGTTAGTGCCCTCAACACTGTGGTCCATGTTAGTGCCCTCAACACTGTGGTCCATGTTAGTGTCCTCAACACTGTGGTCCATGTTAGTGTCCTCAACACTGTGGTCCATGTTAGTGTCCTCAACACTGTGGTCCATGTTAGTGTCCTCACCACTGTGGTCTATGTTAGTGCCCTCAACACTGTGGTCCATGTTAGTGTCCTCACCACTGTGGTCCATGTTAGTGCCCTCAACACTGTGGTCCATGTTAGTGTCCTCAACACTGTGTGGTCCATGTTAGTGTCCTCAACACTGTGGTCCATGTTAGTGTCCTCAACACTGTGGTCCATGTTAGTGTCCTCAACACTGTGGTCCATGTTAGTGCCCTCAACACTGTGGTCCATGTTAGTGTCCTCAACACTGTGGTCCATGTTAGTGTCCTCAACACTGTGGTCCATGTTAGTGTCCTCAACACTCCATGTTAGTGCCCTCAACACTGTGTTCCATGTTAGTGTCCTCAACACTGTGTGGTCCATGTTAGTGTCCTCAACACTGTGTGGTCCATGTTAGTGCCCTCACCACTGTGGTCCATGTTAGTGCCCTCAACACTGTGGTCCATGTTAGTGCCCTCAACACTGTGGTCCATGTTAGTGTCCTCAACACTGTGGTCCATGTTAGTGTCCTCAACACTGTGGTCCATGTTAGTGTCCTCAACACTGTGGTCCATGTTAGTGCCCTCAACACTGTGTGGTCCATGTTAGTGTCCTCAACACTGTGTGGTCCATGTTAGTGCCCTCACCACTGTGGTCTATGTTAGTGCCCTCAACACTGTGGTCCATGTTAGTGTCCTCAACACTGTGGTCCATGTTAGTGTCCTCAACACTGTGGTCCATGTTAGTGCCCTCAACACTGTGTGGTCCATGTTAGTGTCCTCAACACTGTGGTCCATGTTAGTGTCCTCAACACTGTGTGGTCCATGTTAGTGCCCTCACCACTGTGGTCCATGTTAGTGCCCTCAACACTGTGGTCCATGTTAGTGTCCTCAACACTGTGGTCCATGTTAGTGTCCTCAACACTGTGGTCCATGTTAGTGTCCTCAACACTGTGGTCCATGTTAGTGCCCTCAACACTGTGGTCCATGTTAGTGTCCTCAACACTGTGTGGTCCATGTTAGTGTCCTCAACACTGTGTGGTCCATGTTAGTGCCCTCACCACTGTGGTCCATGTTAGTGCCCTCAACACTGTGGTCCATGTTAGTGCCCTCAACACTGTGGTCCATGTTAGTGTCCTCAACACTGTGGTCCATGTTAGTGTCCTCAACACTGTGGTCCATGTTAGTGTCCTCAACACTGTGGTCCATGTTAGTGTCCTCACCACTGTGGTCATGTTAGTGCCCTCAACACTGTGGTCCATGTTAGTGTCCTCAACACTGTGGTCCATGTTAGTGCCCTCAACACTGTGGTCCATGTTAGTGTCCTCAACACTGTGTGTCCATGTTAGTGTCCTCAACACTGTGGTCCATGTTAGTGTCCTCAACACTGTGGTCCATGTTAGTGTCCTCAACACTGTGGTCCATGTTAGTGCCCTCAACACTGTGGTCCATGTTAGTGTCCTCAACACTGTGGTCCATGTTAGTGTCCTCAACACTGTGGTCCATGTTAGTGTCCTCAACACTGTGGTCCATGTTAGTGCCCTCAACACTGTGGTCCATGTTAGTGTCCTCAACACTGTGTGGTCCATGTTAGTGTCCTCAACACTGTGGTCCATGTTAGTGCCCTCAACACTGTGGTCCATGTTAGTGCCCTCAACACTGTGGTCCATGTTAGTGCCCTCAACACTGTGGTCCATGTTAGTGTCCTCAACACTGTGGTCCATGTTAGTGTCCTCAACACTGTGGTCCATGTTAGTGTCCTCAACACTGTGGTCCATGTTAGTGCCCTCAACACTGTGGTCCATGTTAGTGCCCTCAACACTGTGTGTCCATGTTAGTGCCCTCAACACTGTGGTCCATGTTAGTGCCCTCAACACTGTGGTCCATGTTAGTGCCCTCAACACTGTGGTCCATGTTAGTGTCCTCAACACTGTGGTCCATGTTAGTGCCCTCAACACTGTGGTCCATGTTAGTGCCCTCAACACTGTGGTCCATGTTAGTGTCCTCAACACTGTGGTCCATGTTAGTGTCCTCAACACTGTGTGGTCCATGTTAGTGCCCTCAACACTGTGGTCCATGTTAGTGTCCTCAACACTGTGGTCCATGTTAGTGTCCTCAACACTGTGGTCCATGTTAGTGCCCTCAACACTGTGGTCCATGTTAGTGTCCTCAACACTGTGGTCCATGTTAGTGTCCTCAACACTGTGGTCCATGTTAGTGCCCTCAACACTGTGGTCCATGTTAGTGTCCTCAACACTGTGGTCCATGTTAGTGCCCTCAACACTGTGGTCCATGTTAGTGCCCTCAACACTGTGGTCCATGTTAGTGCCCTCAACACTGTGGTCCATGTTAGTTCCCTCAACACTGTGGTCCATGTTAGTGCCCTCAACACTGTGGTCCATGTTAGTGTCCTCAACACTGTGGTCCATGTTAGTGCCCTCAACACTGTGGTCCATGTTAGTGCCCTCAACACTGTGGTCCATGTTAGTGTCCTCAACACTGTGTGGTCCATGTTAGTGTCCTCACCACTGTGGTCCATGTTAGTGCCCTCAACACTGTGGTCCATGTTAGTGTCCTCACCATTGTGGTCCATGTTAGTGTCCTCACCACTGTGGTCCATGTTAGTGTCCTCAACACTGTGTGGTCCATGTTAGTGTCCTCAACACTGTGGTCCATGTTAGTGTCCTCACCACTGTGGTCCAAGTTAATCCCATCAAAATAGGTAAAATGTTGCATTCAATGCAACTTATCTTTCCGGTGGGACCTTCAGTAGGTCTCTGGTCTGTATCAATAACCTGGTCAGGATAAATCACAAGATTTCTGGAGAAACCGTCTCCAAGTTGTGTTCCCCCCCCCCCGCCCCCCTTATTGTGGAAGAACAGAGCAACTTTGAAGAAGTGTGTGGATATAGTAGAACTGATGTTACGTGATGAAGTGTTTACAGGCAACCCGTTCTCGCACTTGCTTACTCTCAATATTGGCTTATTTAATAAGTGCATATGTGACATACTAATTGATTGTGAATATTTTAGTTTACCTTGAAAAGCTTCATAGAAAACACCGACCTCACCTAACCTTCTTAGTATGTTAAGATTAGTATCTTATTGCTTCTTAATTACAATTACTACTTAACCTATACCGTTGATAGGTTAAGTAATAATTGTAAATAAGAAGCAATAAGATGCTTATCTTAACATACTAAGAAGGTTAGGTAAGGTCGGTGTTTTCTATGAAGCTTTTCAAGGTAAACTAAAATATTCACAATCAATTAGTATGTCACATATGCACTTATTAAATACGCCAATATTGACAGTAAGCAAGTGCGAGAACGGGTTGCAACAGGAGTAACAGACTTGTATCGGCGTTAATCAGTGGAATCTTAAGTGTAAAGTCAAGTCTTTTTAAGTGTTTAGTTTAACTCTATACATATACGTGTGTCACGTGAAGAGATAAGTGGATATCTTAAATATATGAGATATGAAATATAATATATATCTCATAAATATATGAGATATAAGCAAACTAATTATTATATTAAATGACATTTGAACAGGTAGGTTTTATTAAAAGTTCATTAGCATGTAAAAAAGAGTGTAGCAAAGTTTGTAAACTATATGAGTGTAGAAGTAAATGTAAACAGATGCATCTCGAGATATGCTGCTCGTACTCTTGCACAGTTTCTCAACACTACTTTGAATGTATTACTCGAATAAATTTTCTTAATTATAATAATTCCAAAATTATAATATGACTGAATTTTTGCTCAACCATTTTCATCATCCGCACGGCGATAATCACTCCCCATACTGATACGTTACAAAGAAATCATAATGGCATGATATGTCAACGAGAAAATAATTTTGTGGCAATGGGATGACTCGAATCGGCGTTCTGATGATTCCCAGAGTTGATAGGCTTTTGTCTTATCGTGGCAGAGTCGGTTAAGGCAGGTGTCTGGAAATCACCTGAACGCCGGTTCAATTCCCCAAGATGATTTTCTCATACCGATATATATAATAGCTGAATGACACATTCTTTTTCATCCATGCTGAGAATAGTTAAAACAACTGTCACATCCATACAATGTGACAGATGTTTAAATTTAGTTCACCATTGAGATCTGACGAAACATGGTGTCGCATGCAAGAGCTCAATATTATTTCCCACAATCCCTTCCTATCTCTCGTGAGCGTTGTGCAAGATGTGTTATACCAAGCAGGTTGCCGCTCACCTTCAGCCTGGTCTCCCGTGGGAGCCTCCAGAATGTAGCCATACACAAGGAGAGTCCGAATGGTCTCGGATGCTGTGTCTCGGTTGGCCTTTTTGATTGCATCGTCGACGTTTCCATAGCTGACGAGGTGAGGTGAGCGATGCATGTCTGGGTCCTCGTTGAGGCCGTAGGTCCAGCCTTGTAGGATCCGCTCCCGGGCCCAGATGTTGTGAGTGTTCTCCGCCAGCTGGTCCACCAGCTCTTCCAGTTTGGACGTGAGGCTAACCTGTTCACAACACGGGTTCTCACTCTTATTCACAAGTAAACATTTACTATTCTGCAGATTTTGTTTAATCTAGAAAAATGTGACAAAACTAAATATTATTGAAATATTGCAAATAAATAATCCCGAAGAGGGCAATTATAATGGCTTGGCGTAATTGTTTGGGTATTCTGGGAGACAGCAGGTAACAAATAATATGTTGATGTACTTATGAAAGCACACAAAAATGGATTTACATTTTTCTCACAGATCCAATATATGTTAGCAAACACACTACAGCTGTCGGAGTGAGGTGGTGGGCAGTGGACAAGTAGGCTGCTAGCAAGTTATAGTTCTCTACCAACTTGTACACGTCACACCAAACATGTCATGAAAAGTACACTGCAATAGTATGCTAACACTAGTTACTACAGCCAAGTGGTGCTTGCAACATTAGAAAGTAGGTTTCAACAGGACACTACAATTAGGTTAAATGGTGAGGGGTAGACTACAAGGAAGCCAGGTGGTGGAGGGTAGACTACAAGGAAGCCAGGTGGTGGGGGGTAGACTACAAGGAAGCCAGGTGGTGGGGGGTAGACTACAAGGAAGCCAGGTGGTGGAGGGTAGACTACAAGGAAGCCAGGTGGTGGAGGGTAAACTACAAGGAAGCCAGGTGGTGGGGGGTAGACTACAAGGAAGCCAGGTGGTGGGGGGTAGACTACAAGGAAGCCAGGTGGTGGGGGTAGACTACAAGGAAGCCAGGTGGTGGTGGGGTAGACTACAAGGGGGTAGACTACAAGGAAGCCAGGTGGTGGGGGGTAGACTACAAGGAAGCCAGGTGGTGGGGGGTAGACTACAAGGAAGCCAGGTGGTGGGGGGTAGACTACAAGGAAGCCAGGTGGTGGGGGGTAGACTACAAGGAAGCCAGGTGGTGGGGGTAGACTACAAGGAAGCCAGGTGGTGGGGGGTAGAGACTACAAGGAAGCCAGGTGGTGGGGGGTAGACTACAAGGAAGCCAGGTGGTGGGGGGTAGACTACAAGGAAGCCAGGTGGTGGGGGGTAGACTACAAGGAAGCCAGGTGGTGGGGGTAGACTACAAGGAAGCCAGGTGGTGGGGGTAGACTACAAGGAAGCCAGGTGGTGGGGGTAGACTACAAGGAAGCCAGGTGGTGGGGGGTAGACTACAAGGAAGCCAGGTGGTGGGGGGTAGACTACAAGGAAGCCAGGTGGTGGGGGGTAGACTACAAGGAAGCCAGGTGGTGGGGGGTAGACTACAAGGAAGCCAGGTGGTGGGGGTAGACTACAAGGAAGCCAGGTGGTGGGGGGTAGACTACAAGGAAGCCAGGTGGTGGGGGTAGACTACAAGGAAGCCAGGTGGTGGGGGGTAGACTACAAGGAAGCCAGGTGGTGGGGGGTAGACTACAAGGAAGCCAGGTGGTGGGGGGTAGACTACAAGGAAGCCAGGTGGTGGGGGGTAGACTACAAGGAAGCCAGGTGGTGGGGGGTAGACTACAAGGAAGCCAGGTGGTGGGGGGTAGACTACAAGGAAGCCAGGTGGTGGGGGGTAGACTACAAGGAAGCCAGGTGGTGGGGGGTAGACTACAAGGAAGCCAGGTGGTGGGGGGTAGACTACATGGAAGCCAGGTGGTGGGGTGTAGACTACAAGGAAGCCTGGTGGTGGGGGTAGACTACAAGGAAGCCAGGTGGTGGGGGGTAGACTACAAGGAAGCCAGGTGATGGAGGGTAGACTACAAGGAAGCCAGGTGGTGGGGGGGTAGACTACAAGGAAGCCAGGTGGTGGGGGTAGACTACAAGGAAGCCAGGTGGTGGGGGGGTAGACTACAAGGAAGCCAGGTGGTGGGGGGTAGACTACAAGGAAGCCAGGTGGTGGGGGGTAGACTACAAGGAAGCCAGGTGGTGGGGGGTAGACTACAAGGAAGCCAGGTGGTGGGGGTAGACTACAAGGAAGCCAGGTGGTGGGGGGGGTAGATTACAAGGAAGCCAGGTGGTGGGGGTAGACTACAAGGAAGCCAGGTGGTGGGGGGTAGACTACAAGGAAGCCAGGTGGTGGAGGGTAGACTACAAGGAAGCCAGGTGGTGGGGGGTAGACTACAAGGAAGCCAGGTGGTGGGGGTAGACTACAAGCCAGGTGGTGGGGGTAGACTACAAGGAAGCCAGGTGGTGGGGGGTAGACTACAATAAGCCAGGTGGTGGGGGGTAGACTACAATAAGCCAGGTGGTGGGGGGTAGACTACAAGGAAGCCAGGTGGTGGGGGGTAGACTACAAGGAAGCCAGGTGGTGGGGGGTAGACTACAGGGAAGCCAGGTGGTGGGGGGTAGACTACAGGGAAGTCAGGTGGTGGGGGGGTAGACTACAAGGAAGCCAGGTGGTGGGGGGTAGACTACAGGGAAGTCAGGTGGTGGGGGTAGACTACAAGGAAGCCAGGTATTGGGGGTAGACTACAGGGAAGCCAGGTGGTGGGGGGGTAGACTACAAGGAAGCCAGGTGGTGGAGGGTAGACTACAAGGAAGCCAGGTGGTGGGCGGTAGACTACATGGAAGCCACATCTCCTGGTAGACAGTACAACAGCCAGCATCCAGCTGGTAGACAGCACAACAGCCAGGTAGTATTTAAGCGTGGTCACCTGCGACAGGTCGAGGGGTTGGGGTTTGTAGCCGTTGGACTGAAGGAAGGGGTCGTTGGGCAGCCTGACGGTGCGGATACGGCTGGGAGGCTTGTCCATGGTAATGTGGTACCCCAACGCCAGCACTGTCCTGTGGTACAAAATTGACCTCATTAATATACAACTATATAATTATTATATCTATACTCTCAGAGTATGTTCTTAAATATACACGAGCCACCATATTTTTGAGAACAAAGTTGATAAAACTTCGTTCTCAAGGGAAAGGAGGAGAAGGACGTACTTGAGAGTCTGGAGAGCGAGCGTAGCGTCGTATCTCTTCTCGCTAGGCGGAAGTTTCTCGAAGGAGGTGAGGCAGGGGTGATGGAGGCGGAGGTCGTCCCGTCGCTCGCTGTACGTCCAGCCTTGCTCGATCTTGTTCATGGCCCACATCTCGTGGATGTTCTCGGCCAGTTTGTCTCGCACCTGCTCGATGTATGCCGCTAGCTGGATCTGTGGCCAGGTTCTCGGCGTCAGCCACTTGTAACGTTCATATCTCACCCTGAGCCAACAACTTTGCTCTCCACATTATAATTGCACCAAGTTCTATCATTATTTATTTACCAATAATGATAATTATCATATTAGTCTTAGATCATGTTAGTGATATATTGCTTGGGGAAATTTAAATTTATGCAAAGCTTGAATATTTCGTATTGTTTAACAAAATAAAATAAGGTAACACTGGCATGCAATATATACTATATATGTCACATTATAATAAACTTTTGGAATTCAGAATAAACACTATAGAGAAAGAAAGGGTGAAAGGAGGCAGACACTGACGGCAGAGGTGTCGACAGGCTTGGGGACGAAGACCAGGTCGTCCTGGATGAGGAGAGGCCCCGCCAGCGTGCCCTTGTGCTGCTCCCCGAAGTAGAAGCAGGGGTCGATGGTAAGGGTCTGCGGTGAGAGATGTGAACAGTGAGACGTGCTAGTCACCGATCCCAGCACTATGTAGTGAAGCATCACAATCACAACACTCTCTCAGGTCCACATTAAACAATAATCCGTGAGGTCCACCTTAGAGAATGTTAAGTGAGGTCGACCTCAGAGAATATTAGGTGGGGTCGACCTCAGAGAATATTAAGTGAGGTCGACCTCAGAGAATATTAGGTGAGAACGACTGTGAGAATAAACAGGTGTCATCAACACAATATGTATCGTGGTATCATCAAGATAATATTTAGCGAGGTATGAATATAATATTTAGTGAGGCCTCACCACCCTTACTGTATGTGCTCAATCTCTCTGAACTGAGTTTCCAACACAAGTTTGTGCCCAAAAGTCCCCACATCTACCCCATATCATTTCTTCCCACGTGTCACACAGTCCAGCTTGTATATTACCCACAATATCTTCTGGTCTTTGTTTTAACATCTGTCCGAGTCCCTGTAACTTATCTTCATAGTCCACCTCTTGTATTCTTGGCACTAAATTCTTATAGGAAGTCTGCACCTTCTCAATCTTGTATAAGGAACAACAGAAGAGGAAGTAGTACAGTTACTTGGTACATCAGTACATGGGTGTTGGTGCTAGTCTCAACCACCAGGATTATTTGGTGTCATCATTCTTGTTTATACCTGGTGGACCAGGCCAGCCATACAATAAGATAACACCTCTCACTTTTCATTACTAATACCTGTGGTTTAATACTGTAGTTTGATTGCATGCATATATATATGTATATAAAAATTTAATATAACCTCCCCTTTAATGTGCAAGGGGCTGATTTGTGAGAATTCTGCAGAAATACAGTCCACTAAACATCAAATTGCTATCGAATATAAATACATATAAGTTGAATACATATAAATCTCACAGGTCGGTTTCCCACAATATTAACATTTATAATTAAGTACCGAGTTAACATTGAGAAATTGTTCATCTATAAACATATCCAATATTAACAACTCCTACACCGAAGAAGTTTTCACAAGCCTGTAGACACAAAGTCACAATCTCGTGGGTGACTATTAGACACCAGCCCACAACGACTTGCTAATGATCCAAGACGGACCAAAACCTCGTCAATTACTATACTTGTAGATGTGTGGTGTGGGTGTGTTACAGAGGTGGTTGTGGAGGCGGGGTGAGGTGATATGACTGACCTGGAAGGGCAGCAGACACTCGGAGACGGAGGAGTGGGCGTCGGGTGGCGGGTACTTGAGCCGGCCGTGTTCACCGCCCAGCAGGAACCTCGCGCTGCAATAACACTCACTTAGCTTCTGTACAACTAACTCCCTTATACCATGCTAATCTTATATAATAACATTACATTTCACCATTTGTAGTTTAGCTATTCATTAATAAGGGTAAATAGTAGTTTGGAAATAGGGTTTATTTATGGAACAATTTACAATGTAATATAATAGATGTTGGGTAACTAGAATTGTTTCAAGCGTAGGTTGGACATTATATATATATGAATGAGGGTAAAATCAGTGTTTAGCCATGGGTAACAAGCATTCTCTAGCCATGGGTAACACACACATTGTCTAGCCATGGGTAACACACACATTGTTTACCCATGGGTAAGAAGCAGTATCAAGAATTTAGAATTATTTTCTATCCAAGCTGTCAGGATGTTACAAGAGAAATTGAATGCAGTGCAATGAGTGCATGATATTTCTGGAACTATATAATACTGTCGACAGTGAGGTCAGCAAACTATCTGGAAATAGTTTGAGAGGCTTTTGCCCCTTTAATATGGTCTCAGCTGGCCAGGTAATGTCTTTTCTTAATTGTTTGTACCGAGTGTTAAAGATAGGTTAGTTGCGAGCACCTTACCTGAGCTTGGCAGATGCAGACACCACAGGGAAGAACATTCCGTCCAGGTTGAAGCCCGTGAAGGCTCCGTTTACCTGCCGGCCATTCACGTAGAAGGTAATAATAGGCACCGTCAGGTCGAGGGCGCAGCCAATCACGTCGCCTTTCTTGATCAGCGGTTCCGAATCCTGGTCGACACATTCACAGGAGGAGACATAAATCATTAATATTTCTTATATTTTATAACTTTAGTTGTGAGAAGATTGTTTACTTGAAGCTGTATTCAGCTGTCTTCAAAATTGTCCCCTATCATATTTGCGTTTTCTCCCTTCACCCCTCCCTGTATGTTTTATGTTGGATGTATTGTTACACCCGCACGTATAACAGGTGCCTACATGCATTACCAAACACATGTTGTCAGAAACTAATGGCGCAGCATATTATTGATGAAGAGACTGCTTCAATTATCCACTCTTTCATGCTCACCGTAATGAAAAATCACAATCTGATGTTTAACGAAAGTTTTAATAATTTTATTTAACTTATGCAAATAACATATATTTGACTTCCATTTTAAATAATTTCCAACTCATGTAGAGGCTTAATGTATGCAACGTTACTGACTTTGAGAGAGAGCAGTACGTACAATAGGATTGACGAGGGTATATCTCCCGCCCGTCCACAAGTACGAGCCGTCGAATCCGTAAGAGTAGAGGTCGTCGCCGACGCCATTGCCACCCCACTTCTCACCTCCTCCAGGGTAGCTAACGTAGCCCTTCGTATTGGCCCATCCGAGACGCAAGTGTGGAGACAGGTGTGATATCTGCTCGATGTGGTCCAGAGTCACCTCGTAGTACCACTTCTGGTAAATGGCTGAGCCTTCCACGAAGCCCACGAAGATGTTGGGTCGTGCGCTGTAGCCAAGTACTGGGTATTACATACAGCCACAGTGCTGAGGGGAAATATTTTGGGCGAGGCAAAGGAAACTAGGCAAAGGAAACTAGGCAAAGGAAACTGACTGTTGCTCAATAAGGAAAATGTAAGAAGCGAGAAGACAATTGGATAAGAGAAGGCATAGGGTAGAGACAAAAGCATTTAAGACAGGAAAGAAAAGGGAAATGAAGGAGTATTAATGTATAGAGAATATCAAGGACAGGAGGGAAAGGGAGAAAATGTTGAGACAAGGGAAAGGCTACAGGACGTATTGTCTTGGCTGTCCTTCTGATATCGTCTAAGTTTTTCAGATAGTTGTAATACTGCCAAGATCACCTTACAATGCCTCAATATTGTTATGTATGTAAGCCCATCATTTATTGTATTACGGACCATGTAAAGTATTATTTTATGCTGAATGTAATTGATATTTAAATAGTAAAAAAGGTGGGGTCTTTGGTAAGCTTCGTCCACTTTCATCACGCGACTATGATGAACCATGATGAGTGGGTATGTAACACGTTGAAACTCTATGATTGATTTAAATATTATAAATAGTACAATCAACCAATCACAGCCAAGGTGGACCATGTTTCCTACTACGTTAATTGGCCGATGAAACCTCTGGGTCCGAGAATGTCACTCTTCTTACATTCATCGATGGATAAGGTCTATTTTCTTCTTTATGGTAGCACGGTGCAGCTTACGTGAAGGTTTCCTCCGCCCCGTGACTGCAGGGAACAAGGTCACAAGTGTTGCTACTCCTCCAACACGCTACTAACGTCACTGGACTGTTGAAGAAGTCCCGACAGAAGAAATAAACCCTACATGAAACACTTTCCTGGAGATTGTACCTGGGCCCAAAGGACATGCCTGGATACTTGAGGCAGAGCGGACGTGCCCGGTGAAGCAGCGATGCCCCGGGGACATGGAGAGTGGGCAGGAGGGGCTTGATGCAGGAAGGACATGATTGGCTCAGAAAGGATATACTTGGGCAGGGAGGGTATGACGGGGAACGTTGGGCATGCCTAAGACTGGGAGGATGTGCTTGAGATCAGGAAGACGTGTTTTGGGTAAGAAGGACTTGTTTGAAGAAAGTTGGTCGTTTTCAGATCAAGGAAGATCATCTTGGGAAAGGAAAGCCATAGTTGAGTCGTTGAGGAAGGTAAGGGAAGTGTTTTGTGATAGATTTGGTTGCATCAGGAAATATATCACTTTTATTCTCATTGTACTTATGAAGTGCTTAAATTTGATGAATCTTAATCTGCTAGTTCATTAAACAAAAATTATTTGTAGTTACTGCATTACCACAATGTGCACAGTCCTAAGAATGGAATGACTCCCCCTGGGAGTAAAAATTTCATTTTGTTGTTTAAATCTATGAGACATTACCAAAATGAGAATACAACTGACTTTTGAAATATAATTAATATTGATGATGACATATGAGATTCTGATAATATAGGTGATCAATAGGAAGATATGAGAGACGAACGATGTAGGAGGTAAGACACCTTAAACTGTTACAAGATTAATGTAGTCACGGTACCAACTTAGAGAGAGGCGAGCACCTGGAAGCGTGACTGACCTGGATACATGGTCCACTAGTTGGGTCTGGAGGAGGAGGTTGCGGCCAGGAAGGAGGTAATCACAGATGTTGTTCTGCGAGGAGCGGACGGCCGTACCGTTGCCCACACACAGGGAGCGCAGTACGTCCAGCACCTTGGGGTCGCGGCCATACTTCTCCAACAGGGCGATAATCACCTTGATGTGCTCCTCCTGTTGTCATAACAATGAACTTGTTGCATGTGTAAACAATATTAACGCATGCTACACCGTTATTGTCACTTATGTAATTAAGGTAATGTAATTTTCATTTAAACTTTCCCAATTACAAATGTACAACTAAAGTTTTTGAATTGATTGTGTAAACGTGTATAAACCGTTTTACATTTATAAATAGGGGGTTTGGTGGGTGCTTGGAATCACTTTTGGGTTTTTGTTTGGAGGACGGGCTGGCACCAGTAGTGACTCGTGCTTCACTTAGGCTAAGGCACCAGTCAGCCCGTCCTCCAAACAAAGACCCAGAAGTGATTCCATGCACCTGCCAAACCCCCCTGTTTATGAATGAAAAACAGTTTACACAGGACTCACAACTGATGATGTTCGAACGCTTCCGGCACAAGTTCTTTACTAACGAATTTTGTTCGAACCACAACGCTGTAAATGCTTCACCCACGTACTTTTAACTGTCGGTATACGGACAGTTAAAAGCACCTAAAATGAGCACAGGCTCTGGTAAGTTGTTCAACAATTGTTTAGGATCAAGAAGAAACAGTGGGACATTTAGGGGGAGATAAATGGAACAGACCGTGTACCATTTATTCACAAAGATACGGGCTGCAGAACACCGAATATGGGACAAAAAAGTAGGGGAATGAGGGCAATATCATCACAGATCAAGAGAGCTGTAGAGTTAAGGGCCCTAGCAAAAGCTAGAGGGGATGAGAGAAAGAAATAACTACAGAAGTGACCAGGATGAGCGCAAAGCATCGCTCCTGGAGACAAACACAAAACGTGAAAATTGCGTGATCAGAAGTTGGAGTTCATGGAAGTTCGCATAAAAACCATGAATATTTCCATTGAAGAACAGACATAGACAAAAAAGAGAGAATAGAAACAGAGATAACAAGGGAGAAACAAAGGCAAAGAAGAACACAGTAGACTAAAGATCAGGATCAGGATCAGTGAAATTGGGGTGACGAGGCATAGGCAAAGATAGCAAAGACAAGGGAGGATGGACCAGAAGCGGACTGACAGTCTGGAGTGGGAGGAAGCATCGAAGAAGGGCGGTTGCGAGAATTGGGGGGAAGGAAGGACAGAAGCAAGAGAGTGCACTGGATCAAGGACAGCATCCAAGAGAGAGATTCAAAGACCAAAGGAACCTCCGTATCAGGCGACTCCACCACTGAAATGGGAGGGGAAGCAGGGATAGTGTCGGAGTCGGAAGGTGAGGAATATATTGAAGCCATCATACTCGTTGGGGAGGAGGGAGAAGAGCCAGGCTTACGTTATTGATGGAGAGAGACTGGTGTACCATCAGCAATGTGGTGGGCAACAGCCTCTACAGTCTCAACAAGAGAAGCAGAACGGGAATAGTCAACATGAAGAACGCTGGGAGGAGGATGGACAATGGCCAGGACAGACAGGCGGTGAGGAGGGCTAAAAGACAGAGGGGAGGGCTGAAAAGAAGGATTGGGGTGAGAAGGGAAAGAGGGAACAGGAGACAAGGAAGACTGGGAAAGAAGGAAGGAAACACTAGAAGGAGAACCACAACGCAAATGAGCAGATAGGTGGTGGAGGTGTCGGTGTCCAAGACCTGGAAACGGTTAGGAAACTGAGATAGCGAGAGAGGACGAGGAGGAGAAGTGGAAAGCAACACACGAGCATAAGACATATCGGAAAAAAAGGGAAGACGGCAAACCTGGTGTCTCGCCTCAGGAAAAGAAAAATGATCACAATGTTTCAAAGTGAGGATGGCTTCCTCAAATTTGTTGTGCACACATGTGCGGGAGAAGGCAGGGTGGGCATCACAGCAATTAATGCAGTGAGCTTGAGAAGAAGAACACTGTCTTAGAGGCTCGAGGCTCCACACAAGGGGCATAGAGACACCTCAATTGTGCACGATCATGAGGGAGGGTTTGAGTGAAGGTATCTATCGGGAGGATAGAATGGCCTTGGCCCTCAAGAATATATTTAATAACCTCATGGCAGTCTTTCAGTTCTCTATCACCAGACGCAGCATTGTGTGGGAGAAAAACTGTGCCAATGCTGGCATTTAACCTTAACCCCTAACTTTAACCATTTAACCCCTGTTCAGATCTTTTTTGAGATCTGAACAGGGGTATCTATCTCCAATGCAGGACAACGAAGCCAAGCAAGCAGCCGCTTCTTGAGAAGGGGCTACAATGACACGTGTACCAGAATGGGTGGGGTTAAAAGTGACAAATTTATCCATTGAATCAACGAGGTGTTTATGGAGGAATAAATCATTAGGACGAGTAGGATCAACATGACTGAGATCAAAATACTTAGTGCACGTAGGCTGAAATGTAATTGATCAGGAAGAAATCATACATGTGCAAATGCGGAGGTGACGGTGCCGAGCTCCCCCAGTAAGAGAGGATGTAAAAGGCGGAGTTATTACAACGAGAGACAACGTCATGCCAGGTGATGACCACTGGGGGCTTGGGGCTCAACCCTGCCACAGAGGTGGGAGGGTAGCAGAGAGTGTTGGTCGGGAGAGTCAGAAAAGCAGCTTGGTCTGGGCCCAAAGTAGCTGGAGGGGCTAGAAAGCCTGACCTTCCCTCACAGTCCGAATCGGTGGCCTGGCCGCCCATCCCATCAGTCTGAGAAGTTAAATGAGGTCAGAGAAAGGCATAAAAACTAACTGGGAAAGATTTCATCCACGAATAAGCCCCCATACCCACCATGGAACCACAATTAGAGGATAGGACACCCAACAAGATGGGATCCCAAGGAGCGCATTGTGAGTATACGCCCTGCAATCGCAACCTTAAGAGCTGTCAGTCCGTCGAGATAGGGTTCAGCAACAAAGGCAAGGATTGACAATAAAAGCATCCCCCCCTCGCTCGACAACATCAGGTACCATAGTTCTACGAGTGAGTTAAAGTGTACCTCCCTAAACACCCGGTGTCAAAACAGAATATGACATTAGAAAAAATATTCAAGAATGGCAAAAAGTCGGCAGAAAGGGAAGTCAGAAAGGAGAAGAGGTGGGGGGAGGAAAATAAAACATGAGGAAGAAGAAAAAAGCATCCAGCAAAATTAGTGAAGACAGCAGCAGGAACATAAAGCTTCAAAAGGACAGAGGACAAGCAGTCCCAAAGAGCATCACATTCCGGCAGTCGCCCACCAGGCCCCCTCAAGACAGCAACAGGCTGGAAAGAGAGGGAGTTATGTCCAGATACACACAGTCAACCCACCCATCTATTTCCTATAGAATCAATGTGGCTCTATCATAAAAACTAACTAGATTTGTTACACAGGATCTTCCTATTCGAAACCATATTGTCTGTTATTATAATATTATTATTCTCCAGGTGTTTTACCCATTTGGTTTAATTATTTTTTCTAGTACTGTATTTTGACTACCACACTTGTTAATCATGTGGGTGTATATTTTAATGGGTTTTCTCGGTTACCATTTTTGAAGATTGGATCTATGTTTGTCTTTTTTCCAAATATCTGCTAAGATTCCTGTGGACAAAGATGTCTGGAATATCAATTGGAGTGGAATTCTCAGCTCAGTTGCACATTCTCACAGCACCCAAGGTGAAACTTCATTTGGTCCAACCGCTTTATTTCTTCTTAGACCCTTCAGTAAATTTCCACTTCGTCTCGAGACACCTCTATATATTCTATGGTGTTTCCTTGCCATTGGGTCTGGCTCTCTGATATCCTCATTTTTCACAAACATAATTTGGAACTGTTCATTTAGTCTTTCAAACATTTTCAATCAATCCATTTCAATCTCTGGATTTGTTTTTTACATGCAACTTGCTTTTAATGAATTTATAGAAAAGGCCTGGATCTGTTTTACCTTTGTCAGCTATACCTTTCTCAAAGTTCCTTTCTGCCTCTCTCCTCACTGCTGTGTAACTGTTTCTTGCTTGTTTGTAGTGCTTGCATGTTTGAGGGTTAGGCCTCTTACTATAATCTAGCCATTTCCTTGTCTTTGTCCCTCTTTGTTCCATTCCTTGTCCCTCTCACAGTTTCTGTTGAACCAACCCTGTTTTCTGGTTCTACATCTCTGTTTTGGTGTATATTTATTTGTTTACCTTCATTATATAGTTCACAGACTCTGGTATACATCTCATTTATTTCCTTGCCTAGCAACAAGTCTTTCAAATTAAAATCATTAATGAATTTGTAAAGTTCCCCATAGTGTCCTCCCTTAAAATCAAGTTTGTAAACTATTTCCATTTCGCCATTCTCTTCTAGATTATATGACATGGCATATCTAATTTGCAACAGGTCATGGTCACTTTTACTCAAGGAAGGAAGGTATTGAATGGCATATCTCTTCTTCTTTCCTAGTAAATACCAAATCCAGCAATGATGGAGCATCACCTTCTCTCATTCGTGTGGGCTGTTTAACATGTTGATTCATGCAAGATTCCAGGATGAGGTTTACAAATTTGTCAGTCCAAAAATCCTGTTCTTGCTTCATAGTCTTCCCAGTCACTCGATTTCAAATTGAAGTCACCAAGTATCAACAATCGTGATTTATCTTTATTTGATTTCACAATAATCTATCTTATGATCATTATAAGGCCTTCTCGTTTGACATTGAGCTCCTCCTTGCTCCATGTAGTACTTGCTGGTGGACTATATGCAGTAATGATTATTAGTTTATTATTCCGACTGCAAACCTCCAGTGCCCTTATGTCGACTTCTCGAGGATTGTCGAGTATCAATTCTCTTGTCTTCAGTCGTTCCTTCACCAGGATTGCCCCTTTTCTAACTTGTCTGCCGCATCTCCAAATAGTATAGCCCCTCAGGAATACCACCTCATTTAAATTCTTATCCTCCATTTTCGTCTCTGTTAGTACGACAATATCTGGCATCTTAAGCTGTATTATATAATTTAACTCCAGTATTTTTTACCTTACCCCATATATGTTGGTATACACAATTTTCAGAGACATGCTCCCTCCTCCTTTGCCCTTCACACTTCTTTTCTCTAACGCGTTTGT